TTCTTTGCATTAGTTCCTTGCAGCATAGATGCTTCTTACCAAGGGAAGGACTGAAGATAGATTTGAACTAAAGCTATGGAATTATGGAAGGACAGCTGCCAGTCAGAAGTATTTATAGAGGATATTGGGCAAGTGCACAGACTTCCCTAGCAGATGGACTGAGCATAGGTATAAGTGGAATGATGCAGAATCGTGTATTCTGAATCTGATTCTGAGAATTGCCTAAATGGGCATGTAGGAAAACCAGCAGAAACAAATGCAAACACTAGTTATTTCACTTGATACTCTCCTAGTCCTTGCAGATGCAAAATAGCCGTTTCATGTTTCTTGAAAATTGAGAATTATCTGGTTTTCAACAACATGAATTGATTTATTGCCAAATTATGCAAAGACGTTAGTTGTAGACCACAGTGAGAACAGCTCAAATAATACTGTTTTTCAGTAGTGGTAATATCTTAAGTATTGTTACCAGTTTATTGAGGTATATGAATACTATTCCGTTGTGGGTTTTGATCTAGATTTTGTATAATGTTCCTTTCAAAGATGCTATTGCTTTTTTGAGACAAAAGTAGCAAAATAATTTTGTCTTTTTGTTTGGGTTGGTTTTTTTTTTCTTTTTTGGTAAGGGGAATTTGTCAGAATAGTGGCTCATATGTGAGTTTAGGTGTGTAGTCTTAAAAAAAAAATAAAAACTGTATTTTGTGTTGGAGGCTATATCAGAAAATAAATTACTGAAACTTCTATAGTTGTGCTGTGTAAGTGACCCATGATGTGACACTGTCTGTTGAGATCCTTCTGCGATGCAGATGGAGTTTAAGTATGAGATGCAGTTGCCTGATGCTATCATCTTCTCTTTCTTGCGTACATCTACTGGAGTCCAGGTGGAAATGCTTTTCAGAGCTGCAGTTGGAAAGAGTACTTTTCCTACGAATCCTTTTAGTAGTGGTGCTACCACTGGAGACTGACTTATTTAACTAGTAAGATCCCACTTGTTACATGACCTTGAGCACCAAACAGTTTTTCTAGATTAGTGCTACATTCAAACAAAAATTTGTCATGTTGGATGAATTGGAATGGTTTTGTTGCTGTTCCAAGCACTAATTTTCACTGTCCTTCCACAAGGCTTGATGATGGCAGAGTAAACTGCTGTATCAGTTTCGAGGAATCAAGCACCTCAAACAAGTAAGATCTTAGTGTTACACCAGAAACACGAAAAATTTAGTCAAAGCTTTTGTGGCTAATTCTTATTTTTCAATGATGGACAAAAGAAGAAACCACAAGATGTCACTGTATTCTAAGAAGCTGAGAAGTACTAATCCTATGGGAGTTTCAGAAAGCTGAACGTCCTGAATGGGACTCAAGTATATGTAGGTCTTGGTAAAGTCAATGAGAGGTGCTGGAGTTTGAGAGCGTAATTGGACCCAAGTGCCTGAGATTAATAATCAGCAGCAGGGGGAACAAATGCCCCAGAAAACTGCTTTGTGTTACAAACTTTTCTCTGATTCTTCCTAACAGATTGCTGGATTAAGTTCATTGCTCATAGGGGAATTTTTGTCCAGTTTATAGCCTGCGTGATCGCATTGTGTACTTGGTGTGGGGTGAAATAAAAGAAAAAGTTTGTTCTTTCAACCCATCTCCATGAACAGCAGTAGAGCATTACTGTGGTTACTTCAGAGTGTCAGTGCTGCAACAGGAGACACATTTTCTTGACTACAGGAGGGAAATAACTAGGGTTGAAGTCATTGATATGCTGGCCCTATTATTCTGTTGTTGTTTGCTTTTGCTTACCTCTTTTATTTCCCCCCTTCCTTGCTGCCTTGCGTACAGTCACTAGAATTTCTGCGTGAGCAGATTCCCAGCATCTTTCTCTCCTTGTACGGTGAGGTTACACCACTGTCAGGTGTTCTGCTCCCTTCCTGGGCAGGAGGCAATATTTTTCTTGTGAGGATTTTCTAAAAAAGATGACAAGGTATAGTCCACAAGTGGTGCTTACAAGCTAATCTTGAGTTGTTTCTGTCCCTTTTAATGGGCAATCTTTGCTGTTGTCCCTACAGTGGAAAATGGAAATATATGGATTAAAGAGAGATGGATGGTTTACCCCCAAAACCCAGTGCCAGGAAGGAGGAAAACAGTACCTTAGTAACTCAGATAATACCAGCAAGAAGTGAGTTCACTTCCCCTGTGAGCTACTTCGCATCTACTGACGCAGTTGATGAGAAAGTGTAGATTAATTTAGCTTGTAAAACTGTCAGCGGTCCCCAAGGATTTTCTATGAAGCTGCAGTAGTTACAGGGGTCCAGGCAGAATGAAGACTCTGCCTGCTTACTGGGGACCTTTGTTAATTGGTCCGGTAGCTTCCAGCTGGTATTGGTTAAGGGCTATAAAACAAAGTTACACATGGGAAACCATTTGTAATACACAAACATAGTTGGTACTGTAAAACCCATGAACAGCACCATGTACCTGTTACCTCCAATGACCTGCTTCTCAAGCGATGTTCTCTTTATATAGGACTGCTCTTACAACAGCATCCACATGAATGTTTTTCATTTCACGGCAGTAATTAGAAGCCTGAGTCATGGACCAATTTCTCTAGGCATCAGGCAAACTGAATAAAAGGATAGACAAAAGTCATGTAGTAAAATGGAGTTTAAATTGCAGTTTATAGACAATAGCACAGTGCAATAGTCCGGGCTGTAAGGCTAATGAAGGATATCCTTCCGATATCCTTCATTATTCACAGTCACTCTGGCAGGCAGGTAAATGGAGAAAGGTGGTGAAAATAAATGTATTAGCCAAACAACAGGTCAGTCTCAGTTCTACTCACTATTTTAGAAATTGTTCAGACTTTTTCAAAACACCTTGCAAATGGAGCCTCCAAACTCTGTTAATGGCTGTGCCTGGAGCTCAGGCAGCTAATCATTCTCAGGTAGGTGCAACTCGAAGCACAGCAAAGCTCAAAATGTTGGCAGCTGTCCCTAAAAAGCATGGTATGCAGAAGTCTTCATGGTGCTCTCCACTTTTGACTGTGATCAAATAGTCTGAAAGGTTTTTTTTCTTCATGATGTGTTTGCAACACTGTTCTGGAAACTAATCTGGCAGATAGTGGTACTAAAATTCTAGGTCTACTAGGACCTGGCTGAGGAAAAAGATTGCAATTGTTCCTGCAGCTGGGGAATTTAGCCCGTTGCCTGAGTTTTTATCTTTTCAGCCACACTGAATCACAATATGAATGATGTTTCAGATATGACCCATGCCTTACTAATAACAAGTTTTACTATCTAGCTTTCATAAATGCACATCTTCTCTTCCCTATGGAAGAGTCATCTTTTGGACAAACTGAGGGAAGAATTCTTACAGAAAAATGATTCTGCATTTGTGTAGAAATACTTTTAAGCGAGGAAGAAAAAAACCATACAGAGGAAATCTGGGTTGTGTCTAAATCATGTCTTTTGTGCTCTCATTAAGGGATTGGAATTGGCTATGGAAGAATCCTGGGTTTTCTTTACGAACAATTTGTTTAGATGGGCTTCAACCATTCCTTCAAGTATTCTAATGCTACCAAAAAAGTTTAGACCCAATCACAGTTTAACATTTTTACTCTGTTTACATGTATTTGAGAGTCATGTTTTAAAACCAAGCAACTTGCAATGCTGGAGTGCTTACAAGCGGTAACCGTATGATAGCATTGCCTGAACAGAGTGAGGGAAATATGTCAAAACGTGCAAAGAAATAAAAGACATCAAGAAGTCCATCTTGCCCTGAGACCTGTAAGGATAATGGTCTGGATGATGCCAAAGCCTCACCAGTAAGCAACAGCCTGATACAAAAAGCCTATTTTTTTGAGGCTTTTGTTATTGTCAATCTACTTTGTAAATGGCATATTTCTAAAGGTAACAGCCAGAAAGCTGGCATAGTTTGACACAGAAATTAATAAAATTTCACAAGTCTATTACAAGAGAAGTACTGGCCTTAAAATTCATTGGCTCTCCTGGGAAACATTCTCTTTGGGTCAGGCTGCAGCTTGGAATTACCAGCGTGTAGTAGCAGTCCATAAAACTCTCCTGCCAGCTCTGAACCAAGGATATGTCTTCATCAGCTGAGCTGCTATTAAAACCCTCAGTGAAACCCAGAGAGAGGTAAAAGCAGCCAATTCTAATGTTGCTGCTGCCTGTTTTACATATGTGTCTCCATTGATTTTTCCTCTGTAGAATTTTCTCCCTGGTCTAAACAAAAAGAGAATCGCAGATGATGTGCTACAGTTCACTTCAGATTTTTTTTTGAACAGAAATTACTTGTGAATTATCACAATATTTCAGTGCTGGTCTTACTGCTACAGTTTCTTAGGGTGCAGGTTGAACAGGCTAACGTTGAATACTTAATTCCTTTATTTTCCAGTGTTGTTCCAAGTTTAATGCATATACATCTATGGAACAAAGTGAGGAGGTGATCTCTTGATTACGGACTTTCTGAATCATGACACATGTGGGACAGAGAGCTTGGAACCATTCGTAAAATAGCTTGCCTTGTATCGAGCCGAGGATGTTACCGTTTCTTCCTCTTCAGTATGATGATTGCAACAAGGTAGGCGTAAGCCATCCTAAGGGAGAAAGTGCAGTTACCTCTGAGCAAAAATTATGGAATGTCTAGATCCATAACCTTAAATGTTTAAGTCAAGCAAACAATCGCATAGTGTGCAAAACACCCATAGCAAAGAGCATCATCAGAAAAAGCTAATTTTTATCAGAGTCAGCTGGAGCCTTTGTAGTCCATAAAAGAAAAAAAAAAGATTGCCATTAGTTTCACTCAGTTTTAAACCATGTGCAGATTTCTCTCAGGCTGTGCCCTGATGCATGAGTCATAGAACCAGGTGGGTATTGATATATCTATGAATTTGCCTCGTTTGCAAAAATTACTTCAGGCCACTTACCTGAAAATATGAAATGGACTTGTAGTCACAGTGTTTCTACAAAAAAAAAAAGAAAGTCAAGGCTATAAGCATGCATGAAGTCCCTCACAGCATCCTTCTGGACAAGTTGGACAACTGTGGGATGAGTGGGTTCATGGTGCGCTGGGTGAAGAACTGGCTGAAGGGCAGGGCTCAAAGGGTCATAGTGAATGGGGCTACATCTGGCTGGCAACAGGTCACCAGTGGTGCTCCTCAGGGTTCGATTCTGGGGCCAGTCCTGTTCAATATATTTCTCAACAATCTGGATGCAGGAGCTGAATACACCATTAGCAAGTTTGCTGATGATACCAAACTGGGAGGTGCTGTTGGCTCTCTTGAGGGACAAGAGGCCTTGCAGAGGGATCTAGATAGATTGGAGCACTGGGCCATGATTAATGGGGTGAAATTTAACAAGTTGAAATGACAGGTTCTGCACCTAGGATGGAGTAATGCTGGGCACAAGTATAAACTGGGAGAGGAGTGGTTGGAGAGCAGCCCTGCAGAAAGGGATCTGGGGGTGCTGGTCAACAGCAGGCTTGGTATGAGCCAGCAGTGTGCCCTGGCAGCCCAGAGGGCAAACCACATCCTGGGGTGCATTCCAGTATAACCAGCCAGTCAAAAGAGGTAATCCTGCTCTGGTCAGCATTGGTGCAGCCTCACCTTGAATACTGTGTGTGGTTCCGCACCCCAAGATTTAAGAAGAATGTGAAGGTCCTTGAATGCCTCCAGAGGAGGGCAACAAAGCTGGTGAAAGGGAAGGCATGTCCTATGAGGAGCGGCTGAGGACTCTAGGTTTGTCTAGTTTGGAGAAAAGGAGGCTGAGGGGCAACGTCATTTCTTTCTACAGCTTCCTGAGGAGGGGACGTGGAGAGGGAGGTACTGATCTCTTCTCTCTGATATCCAGTGACAGGACATGTGGGAATGGTTCAAAGCTGCACAAGGGGAGGTTCAGACTGGACATTAGGAAGCATTTCTTTATGGAGAGGGTGGTCAAACACCAGAACAGGCACCCTACAGAGGTGGCTGATGCCCCAAGCCTGTCAGTGTTTAAGAGGCATTTGGACAATGCCCTTAACAACACACCTTACCTTGGTCAGCCCTGAATTGGTCAGGCAGTTGGACTAGATGATCGTTGTAGGTCCCTTCCAACTGAAATAGTCTGGTCTGGTCTATTCTATTAAGATGTAGAATTTATGAAGGTGTATTTTGTGTGTGTACACGTGAGCGTGTAATGGCGTGTGTGTACACTCCATTAAAGGCGGGCATACTGTGAGAATCACAAATACTGTTGCTATTTTACTATTATGTTACAATAACTAAGCAAAACCTCATCTAAGTATCTTTGCATGAAACCATAAGACAATGCAGTACAAAATAATTAAGCCACTCTCTGCCTCTTGTTTTAGAGGCTGGAGGACTTTTCCTTGGTGCAGGATGCCTATAATGGAATAGAAAGGTTGCTTGCCCCCTCTCCCTTTCTCAGTAACTGTTTAGGGAGCCTAGCTTGTCTAGGTTCCTGCCTTTAGGTCCCTGAAGTTAAATGAGATTAATACAGGCTTCTTGAGACAGTTGGCAGCATATTTCTCTGCCTACAATCATTGCACAGAGAATTCACAGGGTAAATATAAGTAGACAGATGCAGGCAGAGAATCCTGGTGAAATAAAGGGATGTCAGTGCTTAACACGGTGGGCAGTGGCAAAGCTCACCAGCCACCCAGCCACTGTCAACACAGAGGGCCCTGAAGAGGAGTCGTGACCCCCGTTTGAGGAGCTGGCAGAACTCATTCCCTTATATGCTGCCTCTGTATTGCTTTGCATGTATTTTCTAGATACAGTGTCTTGTTAGTAGATGTATTGGCAGTGCACTAGGAAGTATCTTTAAGACAAGTTAATTCAGGCTCTCTTAGCCTTGATAACACCTGCTTAAAATATGCTTCCTTCTATGAATGACAAGTGTACGGAGATTATCTTATGATAGTTCCATGACAAGTGACTTCCAAAAAGCAACATAGAAGGCTATTTTTCAGAAGGGCCATTAGCCATCTGGCAGCCCATTTTCCACCCTTCATTGTAAGCACGATAATCTGAACAGTATTCAGGAAAAAGGCAGATCGAAGTCTTTGCTGTCTCCACAGAAAATGCATCCTGACGACTCCATAAACAAAGGTTTTCAAGTGGAAAACATGTTTTACATTTATATCTTTCATGCTGTAAAGCCCCGCTTATTTTTTACATTTTCTGTACAAAGCCTTTTTTTTCAAATGGAGCTTGGATATTATTCATTTTGCAGTTGTATTCACATTTAGCACAGACATACGGAACAGACAATCTCCCAATAAACTAAAGGGGACCTATGACACTGTCCTTTTGTGTGTCATGCCATTGTAAGCACGGCAATAATGCCGCTGGTGACTTCTGCTGCTGTAATACTCTCTAAACCTGCACAGACACAGCAGTTAGGACTCTGTTTTCCCCAACACAGTTGGAAGAGGAGTGTAAAATCACAATCTTTGCTCCTGTCCTCCATCTCAAAACTTACCTTGAACCTTGAAATTTTGCTTCGCATGGGGCACGGCTGTTGTGTAGGCAAATGCTGGTTTACCTGCTTGTCAGCTAAGGTCTGGGATCTGAAGGGAGATGGTGGCTCTGCCTCTTCTGCGATGCTGGTACTCCTTTTGGCTTCCCCTCCACACCTGTGCCTGTGATCACCAAAGGTGCATGTGCTGTGGTCTAGTGGTTTGCACGCCTGCATTTCCTTCCCGTGGAGGGGAAGATGCAGAGGGATGGTGGTTTCACTCATTCGGTTGTGCTCCAATATGCAGCTGGAGCGCTGCCAGGGCACGCACTGGACTCGGAACTGGTCTCTGATCCACCCACTTGACTGTAGCCCAAGTGACTCATTCTACAGAAAATAACATTGCCGAACAGAGAAAGTAAGCTTCATGCTGCGTGCCCGACAAGTACAGTTGGTCCAACGCCCATGGGGCAGGGAAGGGAGAACCTTGCTAGTGTGGCCCGGGGTTGAGGTCCCCATTTAAACTCTCGTGATGTCTTTCTAAGGCTGAAAGTGGGAACAATACGATGCTGTAAATTGCTGATCATAAAACCAGATGGAGACTGATGTGCAGCTACCCACTGTGTCCCAAGCTACTGTCCAAATTACTGACTCGCCTTGTTGGGCCAAAGTGTCAATGGATTTATGTCGTAGGAAAATCCAGTGAACAATCAAAGCATTTAAAAACAAGCCAACAAATACGAAGCATTTGGAAGCGGCAGCTGATGTTCCCTCACAGATTTAACACATGATTTCTATAATCATAAAAATATATTTAATTTTGTTTATTTAAACCAGCCTGTGTTTTGCTGTGAGCATTAATCATCTGGTGTCACACAATAGCACACTAAATGTCACACATTGAATCACATCTCCTGCGACACTCTTCTGAATATTCTGAATGTACTCCACAGCTGTAGAAAGAAGTACTTCATGCCTTGCTAGTTACAGAGCAGACACACTCTTGCAGCTTCATTTTGTATTCAGTAGCTCTACAAAACAGCAAAGGCAGCATGCAAAATGAGGAGGAATACTACTGAAGCTCAGTTGCTGATCTTTCACAATTCAACTGCAAAAACTGTGGGGTCTGAAAGAACACAATAAAGTGCAAGTATCGATAGAAATATTAAACTACCTTAATCAAGAGAATTACATCTGGTCACTTAGTTTTTTAATAAGAGTTGTTTGCCTGAAGAAGCAACAACAGCACAGAAT